GCCCGGCCACCCTCGGCAAACACGGCTCCAACACCGCGAGAAGGGGCAGCCGGAGGGTCCCACCAGAGGGCTCACCCAGCTCAAGGGCTGCGGAAAGCTGCACAACGCTCACACGCTTCCCACCCAAAGCGACCACGCACTGGCTCACCAGCCCCCCAAACACTGCTCCCACGCGGGGCTGAGGAGGACTTGGATGTGCCCAGAGGACGGGCAGCCAACACCAGGCTTTGCCGCCACTCCTCACCCAGCCAGAGCCTCCAGCTCCCCGGTTTCTGTGGATGTGTGGACGTCCCAGCGTGACTTTCCCCTCCCCACCCGCCTAGGAAGTTTATAAAATAGGGTTTGTTTTTTGCTTTTTCTACAAAGACAGCGGCGGAGCTTCCTTTGCAAGAGCAGAACAATCTCCCTGCGAGGTAGAGAGTTAATTTCAGGGCTGACAGATCCTAAATTCAAACCAGTTTGTCCTAGTTGAGGTAAAATTCAGTAGTTTATGGTGAGTTTTGCAGTGCCAGAGGGCCATCAAGATTCCTCATTGCCAGAGTCATCCTCATCACCGTAACAGCTGTCTCCTTCCTCCTCCATCTCATCATCCTCGTAATAGTCATCATAGAAGAGGTCTGAGCCCTCATCTGGGGCTGGAGTCTTGGTCTTCACACAGTACTCTGCCAGCGTGGTGGGGACCTTCACGCCGTCCCGCTCAGCATCCACCTTCGTGCCCAAGACTTGCTTCCTGGAGGGCGAGAGGTGGGGGGTGAGGACGCAGCTTTGCTCAGCCCCCACGGGGCTCCCCCCGTGACACAGCCCACGTGCTGGTGCCCTGGGACAGCCCTGACAGCAACGCGACGGTGGCACCACGTCTGCCTCGAACCCAGACCCTCAGCTCTGGAGCTGAAAAGGGCCAGGGCCGAGGGCAAAGGGGGCCTGTAACCCGGCCAAGCTTCTCCCAAAAGCCACGCTCAGAGCCAGGATCCTTCCCTCGTGCCAGCCTGCAGACGGGACTCAAAAAGGCAGGACACGCCCCCAAGATCCTCCGTGTCCCAGCAGGTCAGAGCTCAGCTGGGGCCGGGCTCAGCTCAGCACGCACCTGATGATGTCCGTGTACTCGCGGTCCTTCCCTTTGCTCTCCTTCCACTTGCGGTACATCACGGAGGCATCCACGTTCGCTGGAGAAAACGTGTTGGGTTCATTCAGCAGCGAGATCACGCTCAGGAGGATGGTCCTGGCCATCAGAACACGAACAGGTAAGAGCCAAGGCAGGCGAGCAGCTGCCCCAGGGCAGAGGAGCCAGGCAC